TCCTATACACTTTTTTTTTTTTCATTTTTGTAAACGTATAACACAACTGTTGTTCTGGTGTCTATGTGATCTAACGTGATTAAAGAAAATCTATCGAGTAGCTTTTTTTAGTTATCAGAATATGTTTTTATATCATGGAACGTTTATAAAGCCCCCCCCAATAGGATACAAGTTGTAGTAAAATTAAAAAATTGAATGTTAAATTTGGCACGTAGCCACAATCTCACAACATTTGGTACAGTCTCCAATCAGTACGATTGAAACGGTCAAATTTTGTAATTAATAAAATCATATAATTAAATAGCACTTTCACACGTCATCGAGTAAAAGGTGTTGAATTTTTGTCAACAATTACAGTTATAAAAATTTCATCCCCAATATCTAAGGTAGGTCCCACCCACTCCTTCCACCTCCCTTGGCCCTCGTCTCCTTGCTCTATATAAACAAACAGCTTCAACTCCATCTTCATCGGAAAAACAAACATTTATCTATCTCTCTCTCTCTCGGCAAAAATGGCTGTCTTTGCTCTATCTCTCCTCATACTACTCTCCTCTTTCTCAGCCATTTTCGCAGGTTAATTTTTCATCATCATCGGTTTATTTCGAATTTCGTATGTTTTGATTCTGAAATTCTGATGTCTTTGTTTGTTTTCTTCACAGATTCTGGAATGATCGGAGTAAATTACGGCCGGATAGCAGACAATCTTCCGGCACCGGAGAAGGTAGTTGAGCTACTGAAATCTCAAGGAATCAATCGCGTCAAGCTTTACGACACTGAACAATCCGTACTAACCGCGCTCGCTAACTCCGGCATCAAAGTCGTCGTCTCTCTCCCCAACGAAAATCTCGCATCCGCCGCCGCCGATCAGAGCTACACCGACAAATGGGTTCAGGATCACATCAAAAAATACATGCCAGCGACTGATATCGAAGCGATCGCCGTCGGGAACGAAGTCTTCGTCGATCCGAGGAACACGACGACGTATCTCGTTCCGGCCATGACCAATGTTCAGAGCTCTCTGGTTAAGTTCAATCTCGGCAAATCGATTAAGATCTCGTCGCCGATTGCTTTGAGCGCGTTGGCGAGCTCTTATCCACCGTCGGCTGGTTCGTTTAAACCGGATTTAATCGAACCGGTGATCAAACCGATGCTGGATCTGCTTCGCAAAACATCGTCGCATCTCATGGTGAATGCTTACCCGTTCTTCGCTTACGCAGCTAACGCCGATAAGATCTCGTTGGATTACGCTCTGTTTAAAGAGAACGCCGGGAATGTAGATTCCGGTAATGGTTTGAAGTACAGCAATCTCTTAGACGCACAAATCGACGCCGTTTTCGCCGCTATGAAGGCCGTGGGATTCAGCGACGTCAAGCTCGTTGTGACGGAGACTGGATGGCCCTCTGCCGGAGACGAGAACGAGATCGGCGCCGGTTCGGATAACGCGGCGGCTTATAACGGCGGATTAGTGAAGAGAGTGTTAACGGGAAACGGAACGCCGTTAAAACCGAAGGAACCACTTGACGTTTATTTATTCGCTCTGTTTAACGAGAACCAGAAAACGGGTCCCACGTCGGAGAGAAACTACGGGTTGTTTTACCCAAACGAGAACAAAGTGTATGACGTTCCTTTTTCCGCTAAGTCAACGCCGGTCAACGATAGAAAGGAGAAGGTTCCGGTGAAATCGCCGTCGCACGTGGGACAGACGTGGTGCGTGGCGAACGGAAAAACGACGAAGGAGAAGCTTCAGGAAGGTCTAGACTACGCTTGCGGCGAAGGAGGCGCTGATTGCCGTCCGATTCAAAAGGGTGCCACGTGTTACGATCCTGAATCGTTAGAGGCTCACGCTTCTTACGCCTTCAACAGTTACTATCAGAAGAACGCACGTGGTGTTGGCACGTGTGATTTTGGTGGTGCAGCGTACGTGGTCACGCAACCTCCTAGTACGTACTCTATCATTCCCTTCTCGAAAAATTAAATAATAAATATTTTACGTATTTAGTTATTTTTTGCTGAAATCGTGAGGGAGACGGGTTGGGAGATAGGTTAGATAATAATTATGGGAGTTGAGATAGTTCAACAACATATGCTATTTTGTTATCAGAAATTTCCACTATTAGACTTTTTACGTATACAAAACTATATGATTAAAAATTGTGATGTATTCAAATTAATTTGTTTTGCTCTTTTTGTGTTTGTAGGATACGGGAAATGCGAATTTCCAACGACAGAGCATTGAAAGGAATATGGAGGAGATATGATCAGACGGATTATTTATTAGCATTTTCTTTTTTTATTTAATATATTGTTTTGTCATTCGAGTATATGATTATTTATGGGTAGAGTTATTTACTTATTTTAGTTATTGTATATTTGCTTGGCTTCGACGTTTAATATAGTCTCAGTATTTTTGTTCTTAAACTCCACGGCATCTACGTACTACGTATATATACATAGAATCAAATCTCATACTTATGCCATTTGCGTGCCATTACTTAATTAGTTAAAAGAAAAAAGAAAAAATCACTAAAATAATTCTTTAATTAATTTTTTTTATTAAATACTTTAATTCGTTGGATGTATGATGTTTCGTTCATCTTGCAGTTATATCGACCTCTACATAACTTGGTTTTTTTTTTTTTTTTAAAGCTTAACACTTATCAATCTTAATCCTTAATTATGGATACACGATATATATATATACAAAGCTGTTGACACAAAAAAATATCTATAGTAAACAGCGGCGGATCCAGAATTATTTTTTATCTGATGCAAAAATAAATAAAGTAGAAAAAAAAAGTTTTGAAAATGAAAAAAATTGGAAGTTGACAAAATTTGAACATGAGAAAGGAAGGTCATGTGAGGAACTAATGACCAAATGATCTATCAAATCCATATGTACACAAGCCTAACTAATAAAATATATAATTTTAGGTAGGTCATATGACCTTCCATCCCATAACGTGGGTTCGCCACTGCGGGTAAATAATAGTTTCAAAGATTACCTATCGTTGTGTTGGGTTTAGATATTCTCAAATCTCAATTTTGGATTAATTTATTTTTACCTTTTTAGTAGATTGTTAATGAATACTGTACATGTTTAATGGTGGAATACGATTTTCCTTGTATTTTTTTGTTTTCATTTAAACACACTTATTTGCAATTGCGCTTACAAACTTAATCAACAATTTCCCTACATTTTGTGACTGATAACCAAGTCAAATGCTCTCTTGAAACTTATAGTTTCTGAAGTACAAATTAAAATAATTGAACCCAAATATAAAATCGAACTCCTAAAAAAATGACTTCAAAACTCATTTCTCCTCTTAACGGTTTTGGCTCTCACAATTACCTCTCACAATGACCTACCCGACCTGAATCCATTTCTGATCAGCTCAAGTAAAGCTCTGAAGTTAGAAATAAGTCAATAACAATAACAAGGGCCTATGGTATGGATCTAATTCTGGTACTTTGGGCCTGGATCCGGATCAGGATCCAAATTTAACCATGGATCCAATTCTGGATTACCGGGTTTAAGCATTTGCGTCAATCCTAAGCGGCCAAGACTCTGTATAAAACCCCTCTCTCTCTCTCATTCGCCGTCTTGCCTTCTCTCACAATACTCTTCGCGTCGTTTATTTTCGATCTCCATCGTTTCTTCAGTTTCATCAATGGTAAATATCATCTCCGTTTCGCCATGCTTTTACTTCTCGCTTTCCTCTACGGATCCTATTTCGATTTCAAGGATTTACACTTTCTTCGATCTCGCTTGATCTGTCGAATTTTTCATCGTTTTTTGTTTCCACTTAATTCTCAGGCTTTACCTAACCAGCAAACCGTCAATTACCCTAGCTTCAAGCTCGTCATCGTTGGTGATGGAGGCACAGGTACCACCATCTCACCTTCAACTTGAGGATTAGTTCAATTTCAGAAACACGATTTTTGGGTTTGATTAGTCTAGCTTGGCCGTTACTGCTTCGATAGGGTTGATGTTACTTTGTTACTTATCCATGCTTGAATTTTGTTTGTTATGTGTAATCTTGAGTAGTCATGTAGATCTTGCTGTTCAATTCTGATTAGAAAACACGATTCTAGAGATCGCTGATTCAACAAAGCTTGGTTTTGTTACTTATTCATGCTTTAGTGTACATATAAGCAATATAGATCTTGTAGCTCAATCATGAGATTGTCTGCGATGGTGGAATGCATCTAACCTTCTGACTATGTGCACAGGAAAGACCACATTTGTGAAGAGACATCTTACTGGAGAGTTTGAGAAGAAGTATGAACGTAAGTACTTTTACGCGTAGACGAGAAAGTCTCTATTGATATGAAACATAGTAACCTTTTATTCCACGAGTTTCATCGATTCTGATGTTTTGATGCTTTTGCAGCCACTATTGGTGTTGAGGTTCACCCTTTAGATTTCTTCACAAACTGTGGCAAGATCCGGTTTTACTGTTGGGATACTGCTGGACAAGAGAAATTTGGTGGTCTAAGGGATGGATACTAGTAAGTTAATTGCTTACTCACTTTCTTCTTAGTAGCCTTGTGTTTTTAATCTCGTATCATGCGAATGGTTTGCTTGCTACATGTAGTATTATACTGTATTGGTCATAATACATAAATGTGTTTTTGTTTTTGGTTGCAGCATCCATGGACAGTGTGCAGTCATCATGTTTGATGTCACAGCACGTCTGACGTACAAGAATGTTCCGACATGGCACCGTGATCTTTGCAGGGTCTGTGAGAACATCCCGATTGTTCTTTGTGGGAATAAAGTTGATGTGAAGAACAGGCAAGTGAAGGCCAAGCAGGTAACATTCCACAGGAAGAAGAATCTCCAGTATTACGAGATATCTGCTAAGAGCAACTACAACTTTGAGAAGCCATTCTTGTACCTTGCTAGAAAACTCGCTGGGTAAACAACAATTCGACCTTGTAATGTTGTGAAACAACTAGAAAGACGAAAAAGTTGATAAAGTTGCTTGCTTGTTTCAGGGACGCCAACCTTCACTTTGTGGAATCACCTGCTCTTGCTCCCCCAGAAGTCCAGATCGACATGGCGGCTCAGCAACAGTAAGCTTTCTAAGCTCATGTTATGTTATTTCATTGCTAAGTTTTGCTGCTCGGTTTCTTCGTCATCTTACGGATTTCATTGCTATGTGTAGGCATGAAGCCGAGCTTGCAGCGGCAGCAAGTCAGCCACTCCCTGATGACGATGATGACACCTTTGAGTAGAGAGAGATCTGCGCAATGTGATCCGTCACAAGTACTATCATTACCCGCGCCAGGGCTTGTCTAATTTTTTCTTTTTGATGGTTGCTTGTTTTAGTTTTCAAAATATGAACTTTTATATTGAGGTTTGCTTATCGTTGGCACTAGTAGTTTTCTGTTGAGTTTCTTAATCGTCACTATGAAAATCAGTTTGATCGTAAGTCGAGAGAGAGTTATGACCTCCGCATATCTACCTATATATTTTAATCGTCAATAATTATTTTGTTGTTACGATCTATTTGTTTACATTAAGTTGGTATGTTCATGAAATTTTTTTTGTCTTTTGATCTATTTGGTTCGTTTAGGAGTAAAAAAAACATGAGGTTATTAACCTTCGAGAATCATATGCCGTTAAAATTGTTGAATTGCATGGAACAAATGAAAAGAACAATGGCTAATCAGCATAACAACATAACAAACACTATCATAGCTAGGAAAGAGTATTGAGAATTCAACATTAATGAGAAGTTGAGAACATATCAAAGAAACACTATAAGTCGAACATTTATCAACATAACAACTTTTTCATATCGGACAAGCTCAAATCTCTACCAAGGAATTCCCAAACATGGTCTTTTCAATTCTGTTTAACCAAACAATTAACTTATCATGTACAATCGGATTCTCAAATGTTTTATAAGAGTTGAACAACCAATTATTGTTTTTTTTTTTGCTAAATTGTAAATATTTCATTGATATGAAAAAGTTTTGGTTTACAAAATACATCATAAACCTAGATTATGAACCCATGACAAAAAAATATAAAAACATGGAGATAGTTTTCAGTCCATCAATCTCGACACAAGCACAAAGACTAGTGGAGTTCAATGAAGTGATGACGATGAACACTTGTTCCTCCCAAAACTAAGTGTCCGGATGAGGAAGCACAAGCAAACGTTGGCTGTCTGGCAATACCCATGACTCTAGAAGCCGTTCATCAGAAGTCCCTAAGAAAAGTCGTCAACGGATCGCGAGTCCATGAGCTAACCCAAAGAAGAAGCCTTCCTAACCAAATAGGAGATCATTGCGAGCTCACCCTACCAAATTCGTTGGCTAGTACAGAGCTAGATAAGCAATTAGCCATAAACAATGAAAACCACCTAGTCATACTAGCTCCTCTAGAGCAACGGGCAACCAGAGGCAGAACCAAATGCAAGACCACACAACAACACCTACAAAACACCAATCTTAGCAAGACACAAGGACACCAGGCCTAGAACACAACCAAATCTACCTGATATAGAGAGATGTAAACCCAAGGAAACGCAAACAGCCACCACCAATAGCCGAACATAACCAACATTACATCACCATAAAGACTGAAATGAGTCTCGAAGAAAAAGCAATGAGGATACCTCACATCCGAGACGCCACAATAGCCACACTCTAAAAGAGAACTGATGATGTCCACAACCGGAGGCTTGTAGAGATGCGACCTTATCATCGGACCAAATCATCAATAGCAGAGACCACGAAACTCCAACGAAGTACCACTGATCTGAAATTAAGTCTAGGAGGAAAGGCCATAGAGATCAAGGCCCCAACAGCAAAGGCAGAAGAAAGCAAACCGCCAAGACGGGAAGCAAACACGCCAAGTCACCGGAAATCTCTAGACTGAAACCAAGAAGACGACTTCGAACTTCAGGTGACGACAGAGGTAAGACTCTACAGGAACCACGGCCGCCTTAAGCCGACGAAACCTATGGAGACTAAACCCAGAACCACCGGAGAAGAAAGACAAAGCGCGGCGGAAGTTTCCAAACAGAGCCTGGAAAGTGACGCCTCCACAAGGACGAAATACCTTACCACAGCCAGTAGACGTCGCTCCACTGCTGATCGAAACTTGTTCTGTCACCAGAGATGCGAGGGTGGAGAGAAGATCCACGAAGTAGATCCACGCCCGTCGAACATCGTGAGGCGAAAGAAGGGACCCAGCTATTCTCCACGGTCATGGAGCGCCATCGACAAGCCACTCAACACGGCGGAGATAACCCAAACAACCAAGACGCGGCCGCCACGATCTGCGATACTCCAGCCCACTCGCCGCAAAAACTGATCAGATCAGGCATGTGAGGAAGGGACTAGTGCCGTAGAACCAATTGACTCGAGTAGGTCGTGGCCCTCTCACAGAACCGGCCTGAGCCGGAACCGGAGAGGCGAGGGGGCGATTTTGACGGAGGAAGTTGTGTCGGCGGTTTGAAAGAAGAATCGCTGTGGGTGAATCTCACGCGCCCAATTTTATTCTTGTTATTGGTCTTTAACCAATTATTGTTCGTAATCCCTTTGGTCTAAGGTTCACTAAAATCATCAGTGAGACGACACAACCAATCTCACAATTGTCATATAATTGCTAAACGCTTTCACTGATTCTCACGAAGGCAAACACTACATTCACGGCCAAACAATCACACTCGTAATTATATTGTGTAATTTTATTTTCATTGTAGTTTTTGGTGGTCTGTGTTGTAGTTTTTTTTTGGACTCGTTTTCTCCATGATGTTAATCTTATGAGAAGAAGGTTTGTCTTCTTTTAGCTGTGCCCTTAAAGCATATCTTGAAATGGTAGCATGGATGAGACTGATGCATTATACTATTTTAGAACTTTTAGAATTTTTAGAAATTTTGGGCTGGTCTATAAATTTTGAAAATTCATAACATAATTTGTAAAAAATTATTGAAATCGTTTAAACATCGTTTTAAGAACCAACATAACTTCATCTACCTGAATTCATGTGAATCAACTTTCTAAATCTTTCTAAAGTGTTCCATTTTCCTACTAAATATCGGTTTTTGGTTAAATCTTCATTTCCAACATTCGAAATGTTCACGATTTTGCCAAAACATGACCACAACACACATACAAGCATAGTACTTGTATATACGATCTAACAAGACGATTAATATTATCAATTCAAATTTTTTTTTACTATTCTATTTTTGGACTAAGTATTACATAAACAATGATGGTTGAAAATTATGTTGCTCAATATATGCACCGAGTTGTGAAGGAGTTCACAGATTTACTACTCAAGTTCTAATGCAATGGACATCTATGCAAAGGGATTCGAAGTTCTGATCCATATATTACAGGTGAATTTGGTGGTCAATTTTACTTTGCCGGTTACTCATAATGAAGGGGAGCAAGAGCAAGATTACTTTCTCTATCTCACTAGAGTATAGAAGAACTTTTTTTTAAATTTTCCCTTGGAATGCAGAAGAAGAATATGCAAATGCATTCAAAGAAGTAAAGATGCTTGATTCGGAGCTTTTTGACTTTTGTTTTTGAACATATTCAATTTAGAAGTTTCTGTTGTCTTTGTTTGTCTTATGATTTGGAGCTTTGATTGAGAGCAAAGCCATTTTTGCTCCCCATTTGAAGGATGCTTAGATATATATAATGTTTCTAACTTTTGTTTGTGATGTTTTTTTGTATCTTTTGTCTTTTTGAATTTACATGGAGCAAAAAGCCATTTACAAAGAGCAATGCTATGATTTGATTGTGATGGAGCAACTTCTGAATTTATATGCAGAATTTATACATATATGTTTATTTATTAGCGAATAAGATTTATGTATTTAGTCTTGAATATATTGAATTGAGTACCTGATTTTACTTTTACGCGACTTGTATAATCCAATTGTTTCAACTAAAGATAGTTGAGATTATCTTTTTTTTGGATAACGATAATTTATTTTAACGAGTAAGGTTAAGGGTCGGATAATTACTCGGATACTCGATGTTTAGGTAATGAAACAAACTAAAATTATTTAAAATTTTATATATAAGTGCTCTTTACAAACACCACAATTTAATGAAAGTTTTAGACGTTTTAAGAATTTTTGAAAAAACTAATTTATACTGTATTATTTTGGATCTTGCTCGGCATTTCAGAATTTCATCTTCACCCATCGCCAACATTGGTAAGGGTAGTTTCGTAAATTCGTACAAGCCTTGAGAACTCTCCAGAATTTTCTTCCTCCCCAAGAACGTCTCGCCTCTTTCTCCTTCTATCGCCGATTTCCACAAATACAATAAAAAACCTTTTTTTTCCTCTGAATTAAAGCTCCGATTTCGTTTAATTCATTTTGCGCTTCTTCCTCCGTGATGTTGGTGTGTAGGGTTTTATCCAGAGTTACTCGCAGCGCGGGCTTACGCTCGTCTCTCTCCTCCGTCGCTGCTACTCCGACGAGGAATCAGATTCCCAAATTTTCCGGCCGATTTCACTCCCTTGTTGACGGAACTCCCAACAAGGTTAGGTTTTTAAGCCAATTTTTTTGTAGTAATGCGTTCTGAATTTCCTTGATGGGTTTTGCTAGGGTTTAAGGATTTGTTCAAACGAATCTAATAAACCCCATGTCTTTCATTTGGAAATCCAACGTCTTTTTTGACAAATTGAGAGTTTTTGTTCTGAATTTATGGTCTGGGCGTTGATATTACAGTTTCACGAATGCATATGTTTTTGCTATGAGTTTTGTCTTGAGGTTATTTGGATGCAAACTGGTTTGTGGTAGCGGATTTACTCAATTTGAATCCTTTTTAAATGGCAGCTTATTGCAGTTCCAGTGTCGCTCCTAAACAACGGAACTGTAGATTTGAATACCCTTCGAAGGTTCAGCTTTTTTTCATCTTCCTCTAATGAATCTAAGGAAAATAAGAGTAACACTGAGGTCCCAAAGAGTAACATCGAAGCTTCTGAGGATGTGGAGGAGGCGGGGAAAGCTTCAGGTGAAGCAAAAGATTCAGGTACTGACTCAGGATATAGAGATACTTACTGTGTCTAATTCTGCGCAAAGATATTTGATAGGTTACTGGCGTATCTGATTTCTAGATTCAGAGAGTGATGTTGAGGATTTGTCGAGGGACGATTTGGTGAAGCTTGTGGTTGAGAAGGAAGATCTTTTGAAGGTTCAGCAGGAAAGCTTAAAGGAAATGCAAGATAAAGTTCTTCGAAGTTATGCAGAGATGGAGAATGTAATGGACAGGACAAAACGTAATGCTGAAAGCGCCAAAAAGTTTGCTATACAGGTTTTTACTTCTTTTCGGCTAATTTTCTTCTTCTTGAGTTAACTTGGTTTGCTTCCAAATAATCCAGTGATGAAGATGTTTGTCAAAATTGTTTCTGCTGCAGAACTTTGCAACGAGCCTTTTGGATGTGGCGGATAATCTTGGAAGAGCTTCTTCAGTTGTCAAAGAGAGTTTTGCGAAGATCGACACTTCAAAAGATTCGGCTGGTGCTACTCCACTGTTAAAAACCCTTTTAGAAGGAGTGGAGATGACTGAGAAACAATTAGCAGAGGTAAGAAAAACAACAATCCGTTATATTTCTTCTTTGGGCCAAGACAAAAATTTATGAGTCTGGTTCTGAGAAGGCAATTTTATCTGTTGTAAAACTGCAGGTATTTAAGAAATATGGTTTGGTGAAAGAAGATCCTTTAAATGAACCGTTTGATCCAAACAGACATAACGCAGTGTTCCAAATCCCAGATGCTTCCAAGCCAGAAGGCACAGTTGCTCATGTCTTAAAGGTACTAAACTATAAAAGGAGGATTTGCTCTCTTTCTTGCTTTGATTACACTTAAGCATACGCTATATTTTGCAAATATTATGGATTCTCTGGCATTACTTGTAACCTTTTGGTAACGTTTCCATATATGCAGTCTGGATACTCGTTGTATGATCGAGTTATAAGGCCAGCTGAGGTTGGTGTTACTTGCGCGGCGGAGAATCAAGAAGGCGAGAAAGAGTCAGAAGCTTGAGAGACTCAAAACAACGAGAGAGTTGCGCTTTGTTTTAACATCTTCCTGAGTTTTTTGTTAGTTAATAGTTCTCTCTCTCACACATCTTTGCATTTTTATTGGATAAACAAGATCCCATAAAGTAGCTTGATATTGCTACACTTCAGGGAAGCCCTGGTTATGCATCTTTTTCTCAAAATTTTCATCAAGTTATAAAAATGGAACATCGATTCTGATGGAGCCAGGATTTTGGTCTTACATATATATAGCTTCTTCTAACTGAAGACACACACTACATATCAGATCCAGAAGGATCAAAGTGCAATAAAAGCCTACAATAAATTACATATTAAGATATCAATATAGTTACAACAATACCAAGTTCCTAAGACTTTATTGTTGCTTCATTCCAATCCAATATGATCCTCTTCATTCTTCAGTACCTTCAGAATTCAGACACAGTCCCAGATTCAAAAGACCAGTTTTTGTTTCCTGCAGAGGAAGTAAAAACAAGAAAAAATGAACAAAACAAAGACACCTTCATCGCAATCATACCAATAAAATTTGCTGATTTTGAAGCTTACCTGTGTTTGGTCTGTATCTGTCATGTTCATGTCCAGCTCAACGGCTTTAGGCAATGGCGATTCATTGTCGAATTCGTCAGTCTCTTCCGCTATAGCTTCAATTTCAGAATCCTTAGAAGCCACTTTTTCTCTATGCTCAAGCATCGCAATCTACAAAACCAAAACGGATCACTCCACTACTAATCCCACACAAGAAAACAAAAACCCTAAATAGATTTTCCAATTTAGGGGAAAACTTACTGGAGCGTATCTGAATCTTCGCTTAGGCGGCTCCTCTGTCTCACCGAAACCATTAGCATCGGAGGGAGTAACCGTCGCCGAGGAAAGTGGGGTCCACTTATGGAGAAGCAGATGGTGAGGTGAATTGCTACTGTTACTGTTGTTGTTGTTACGACCGTTGGATTTAGATGCTCGGAACACACCGACGGATGAGGTTGAGACACGTACCCACTTCTTCTTCCACTTCCTTACACGACCGCTGAAAACAGCCGTCGTCGCCGGACCACTGTATCTCGATGAGGTCCGGCTCAATCTCGCCCCTACGCCTTCCATCTCCGCAAAATTCTCTTTCCTCTCACTCGCCGGAAAAAAATGTTACTTTATACAACTCCAAAACGCAGCGTTTAACAATGATCGTCCAAAACGCAGCGTTTCATAACATGTCTGTTCTTTTGTTTGAAACGCAGCGTTTTATAGAGACATCTGTTTGTTAATCCTGAAACGCAGCGTTTGGGGAGGTATAATTTGAAAACGCAGCGTTTAAGGAGATATATGTAAATTACACAGCTTTATCTCCTCCAATAAGTGGCGCTTCAAAAGCTCTCAGTTTCTTCTTGAAGCTAAAGAGAGCGAAAATGGAGCTTTGCGTTATCAGCTCGACGACGAGGACGATAAATCCATTTCGTTCATTTTTAACCCGACGTATCGGTTCTCGTCTCGTCCAATCTGATAGCTTGTTCCTCTCTCGTGGTGGTTGCTCTGTGTTACGGCTGAAGAAACCAATCAAGCCCTTGGAGATATCTTGTGCCTCCAGGAAATTTGGTGGTGGTGGATCCCGGAAAGTAGCGGCTTCTCCGGCGGTTGAAACCAGTGTAAAGGAAGACCGGCTTCCGGCTGCTCTTCAAGTCACCGAGACTAAAAGGGCGAATTCAAGTGTAAGAGACTTCAAGCTTTTGTCTATTTCTTCGGGATATGTGTGGCATTGTTGAGTTTGGTCTGAGTTTTGGGATGAATGAAATTTGATGTATTGTTCAATTTTTAGGTGAAATTGAGTGTGGAAGTTCCAGCAATTGTCTGTGAAGATTGTTACCAAAGAGTTCTAACTGAGTTCATGAAACTCTCAAAGGTAAATTGGATTGGAACATGACAATGTAGACACTATAGCTAAAACCGGTCGGAATTTCGTTCCATGTAATGATATGCATGTTGTTTAATTGTATTTTACTTGATTAAGGTTCCTGGATTCCGTCCTGGAAAGAGAGTTCCAGAGGAAGTAATTGTTGGTTTCGTGGGGAGGCAATACGTCTTGAGAGCAACTGTTGAATCTATCTTGAAGAGAACACTTCCTCACGCCATGGAGTCGGTAAACTTTCAAATGTTTATTATATGTAGTTTGATTAAGTATCTAAATTTGCCATTTGTTGGCTTGGAGCATTTTTTCATATCAGATTTTGGCGTTGTAGGTGACTGGAAGGGCTTTAAAAGACTCCATACAGATAGTAAGCAGCTTTCCAGAGATGGAGAAGCAATATTCGACTCTCAAGACTCTTAGGTTTTTGTTTAATCTTATCACAGCATGCAAAAATCTGAACAGGTCAGGAATGTTGCTGCTAATTAACTTTACATGCTTTCTGATTTTCTCTTCTTCCTCAGTTTTGAGGTGGTTGTAGATGTCGTGCCTGAACTAAGATGGAATCCTGAAAATGGGTATAAAAATATGAAGATCGTTGTAGAATTAGGCGATGAGATAGACGCAAAAAAAGCTTGTGAAAGACAACTAAGACAGAAATACAAGTCCCTTGGTGCATTGAAGATTGTAACTGACCGAGGGCTACAGGTAACTGAATGCATAACTTCTTATCTCCTTGCATTATTGTTCTGCAACTAGCGCGGTTTTCTTTCCTGGTCCATTTGAAACCACTAAAGGTTGCTAAATGCTGAGTTAAAAGGGACAAATATGTTACCTCAATACAACTAAGAATAACCACTATAGCTTAGAAGAATAAAGATGTAACCTTCTTTTTACTTTGTTATGAATCTGGCTGCATTAGTTCATAGTTAACTCTGCAAAGATGATATAGTTTCTAGAAAATCTCTTTCATTATATCTTTAAACCGTGCAGGTGGGAGATCTTGCAGTCATTGATATATCTGCTACAACTATAGATGAGGATGGGTCAACGGGTCAAGCGATTCCAGATGCTGAAAGCAAAGGTTTGAGAACTGTTATTTCAACAGAGCAAATGTCTTTAACTCCATTGAAATATTTCCTTCCCGTTTGCAAGTGATGCTGAGATGTGCTGCTGTTATGTGTACAGGATTTCATTTTGACACAGAAGAAGGTAATAGATTACTTCCTGGATTCCTTGGTTCAATCTTAGGGATCCGAGCAGGCGAATCAAAGTCATTCTCGCTTGTGTTTCCTGAATCATGGAAACAAGAAAATCTTCGTGGCCAACGTGCTCAGTTCACTGTGAGTTTTCTGCATATACAAGACATAAAGAAAAAGATGGTCATACTTATATAAGCTATATCGTGTGTGTCTATTTTCTTCAGGTCGGCTGTAAGGAACTCTTCTACAGAGATTTACCAACATTAGATGATTCACTTGCTGATAAACTGCTCCCTGGATGCACCACTTTAAAGGAGGTAATGAACACAGGGAATTTATTTTCAACAAAAGTAATACAGAACTTTTTTTTTTTTTCTACTCTCACTGTAATTCTCTATTAAAACAAGTATACAGGTTGAAGAAACTCTGGCTAAAAGATGCCAAGAGATGGAGCAGGAAGCCAAGGAGCAAGCAACAGACAACGCCATCCTTGAGCAGCTTCGAGAGGTCATCATTTAATCCCATAAAGCATTTGACGCAGTAACATTGATGATCTTTGTGATCGAAAACATTGTCCATTGCTTCTTTTTTTTTTAGATGGTTGAAGTAGAGATTCCTCAATCTTTATTTGAGGAACAAGGAAGACAGTTTTATGGAGCTAGGCTTCTAGAGATTCAGGCAAGCATTTTTGGAATCTCCATCTCTTTTTCTCTTTCTCTTTTACTGTCTCTCAGATTCTTAATGTTGGATGACATGGTATTGCAGGGAAACATGAAGCTCACGGAAGATCAATTGGCTTCTCTTTCAAGTCAAAAAGCAGTAAATGAGTTTCTAGAAACTCAAAGAGAGAGCATTACCAACATAATCAAGCAGAATATAGCTGTTGGAGATATCTTCAAGCGCGAAAACTTAGAGGTATTTTTTATGCTTAGTACTACTCTGTCGTCTCAGAGAACGAAAAAAACGAAAATAGTAACAAAACATTGTCAAATACTTGAACGCAGTTCTCAACAGATGAACTAGTTAAAGAGGTCGAGAACTCGATCTCAGAGTTCAAGAAACATAAACAAGAGTACGACGAGGAGCGTGTGAAAGATCAGGTTAGTTCTCTGAAAATCAAAAAGGACTATTTTTGTTAGTGAATCCAAATATGATCATTTTCTTGAGCTATTTTTTTTTCTTTTTAATTTTCGTGAGCTATATAATATAACACAAAGAGAGGTTCTTCTTGAAATGGTGGTTAGGTACAAGAGATTTTAGAAGGAGCAAAAGTGCTTGAATGGTTGAAAGAACGAGCCGAGATTCAATACATTACTCGTTGATTAGCATAGGTATGTATGTATGATCGGCATGTTCTGTTTTGTGAGCAATTTAATTTTTTGAGTTATGGTTATTTTGTCATAACGTTAACATTTCAACTATATTTGATAATTGTTTGTAAGAGTAATAATAATTGCAATAAATTACTTCTAAAAACATTACTTTTTTTTTTTTTGATTTTGTAGTTTTTGTTCACATTTTTGTCATATCATTCAATGCAAATTTTGATTAGTGTTTGTAAGATTAATAGTTTTTTTTTTTTGAATGTAAGATTAATAGTTGCAATTGATTAGTTCACTTTTTGATTTTACATGGTATATATAGATATATGGTATAGTTAGTCTATGTCGATTTCATATTAAATTTGCCAACTAACATTGACCATGACTTTTTGGGGTCACGTAACTCTCTTCTTTTCTGGTTTGGTTTTATTTGGACGCTCTCGACTAATTAAGTAATTAGCCCGTTCCCTATAACCTCAGTAGTTTTGCCATACTAGCCTTAGCTGTGTTTTACGAAACCACCCCTCACATGATCCATGTTAAAATAACTTTTAAATAATCTTAA